TCTTCTCTCCCTCCCTCCTTCCTTCCCTCCTTCCTTTCCTTCCTTCCTTCCCTCCCTCCCTCCCTCCCTCCCTCTTTCCTTCCTTCCTTTCCTTCCTTCCTTCCTTCCCTCCCTCCTTCCTTCCTTCCTTCCCTCCTTCCTTTCCTTCCTTCCTTCCTTTCCTTCCTGTGCAATCGTTAAAATTAAGTATTGCAAGCTAACTCTGTCCACTGCCAGGAGTTCGATCCTGATGGGGCACAAGGTTGACTCAGCCTTCCATCCTTCTAATGTCGGTAAAATGTGGGCCCAGATTGTTGGCAGGCAAATAGGCTGACTCTGTAAACCGCTTAGAGAGGGCTGGAAAGCACTGTGAAGCGGTATATAAGTCTAAGTTCTGTTGCTATTATTAGTTAAAGTGTATAATTATTGATTTTGACAAATTTGGAATTAATACTTATGATAAAGGAGAGAAGCAACCTGGAATGAAGGAGAAACTTCCTAACAGGGAGAACAATTAACCAATGGAACAGCTGTGGCTGCTCCATCCCTGGAGGTTTTTAAGAAGAGACTGGGCAGCCCCTTGTCCGAAATGGGATAGGGTCTCCTGCCTGAGCATGGGGTTGGACTAGAAGACCTCCAAGGTCCCCTTCCGGCTCTATTCTGATTGATGGATTGACCTTTCCCTTATTTCCCCAACCTGGTGTCTCACCCCCTCGGTTACCTGATAAAGACGAAGATGGCTTTCCGGTAGTTGGTTCCAAAGACCACCCAGGACGACCCCAGGAAGGGCAGGACCACGTCGATCAAGCCCGGCTGCAGATCCTCCATCTCGTCAAAGAGAAAAAGGGATCGGCTACACCGGGTGAGATTTCCCTGGATCCAGTTTCTGAGATTCTCCTACGCAGAAGGGGGGGAAAGGAGGAGGAGGAGAAGAGGAAGAGGAGGAGGAGGAGGAGGAGGAGAAGAAGGAGGAGAAGAGGAGGAGGAGGAGAAGAGGAGGAGAGGAGGAGGAGAAGAAGAAGAGGACGAGGAGAAGAAGAGGAGGATGAGGAGGAATAGAAGAAGAAGAGGAGGAGGAAGAGGAGGAGGTGGAGGAATAGAAGAAGAGGAGGAATAGAAGAAGAGGAGGAGGTGGAATAGAAGAAGAAGAGGAGGACGATGAGAAGAAGAGGAGGAGGAATAGAAGAAGAGGAGGAGGAGGAATAGGAGGAGAAGAGGAGAAGAAGGATAAGGAGGAGAAGAGGAGGAGGAGGAGATGTTGGAAAAGGATTCCAAAAACAAAAAATTCGCCCTCACACTGCCCATCAGGATATAAGCAAAGCGGGGGACTCCAGATCCCATCATCCACACCCAGGGCAAGCTGCCCTGCAGTTCTCTCTCTCTTCCAGCCCTGCCTTCAAAGTTGTTGGCGGGGCTATCAAAGCAGCCCTCGACCTCCAACTCTTCGCGACTGCAGGTCGTTCCTCCACTTACCACAGTTCATTTAGCGACCCGTTCAAACATAAGCACGGCACCGAAAGGAGCCCCGTGTGACCGTTTCCCCCTCCCACGCTCGGCCAGGGATTCATAATTGTGACCGCGGCCCCTGGAAGCTAAAATGGAAAGCGTTTGCGTGCAGTTTCAGGGGAGGGGGAGGAATGGACTCCCTCAGCCTCAGTTTACCTTGTATTGCTGGAGATGGTCAGCGTGGGGGAAGTGAACCAGCGGGGAGAAGCGGTGGACGTAAGGGGTACGGAGGCCCGTCCGGAAGAGGTGCTGGGCTAGCAAGGAGCTCAGGTAGGTCTTCCCGGTGCCCGTCGAGCCGTGGAAGGAGAGGACCAGGGGCTTGGCGGGCTCCGGGTCCTGCACGAAGCTCTTCAGGCTTTGGATGACCAGCTGCCTAGCCAGAGGCTGCCCTACAAGGCGCAGGGCTAAGTCGCACTCGAGACCTGGAGGGGAGAAGACGAAGAAGCGGGTTGAGAAGGACAGGCCGTTCACTTTCGTCTTAAAAAAATCGAGGCAGGTCTGCATGGCATTCCCTTTCGGGAAAAGACTGGGCTGACCTTTGTCCGAAACGGGTGTAGGGTCTCCTGCTTGGGCAGGGGGTTGGACTAGATGACCTACAAGATCCCTTCCAACTCTGTTAATCCGTATATAATCTGTATAGCATGTCCCAAAGGGCATCTGCCAATGTCTCTTCGTGCTATTTCTGTGCCCCTAATGCCCTCCCCACTTTTCTCCCCTTACTGCCTAGTCCTGGGCTTTAAACCCCACCCCCCCAAAGGGAGCCCATAAATCGAACCACTTTGCATATCACAACAACCCTACAGGGTAGGACAGGTGCAGTTGTAGAATGGTAATCTTCAAACTTGATTTTTTTTTTAAGTTGTTCTATTGGTTGCTATTCTATTAATCCCGGCCTACCTAGCAGGGCTGTTACTTGGATGTCCTACCCCCCCCCCCCCCCCCAGGATTCGAACTCGTCTCCCTGCGCCCCCAGCGGCCGTTCCCACCACTGCACCCTTCTGCAGCCTCACCGGTTAAATCGGGCAAGAATTCGCACTCGCAGGACGCCGAGAGGCTGCACTGCCAGGCGCTCGGCCCCCAGGGGGCGCCCGAGAGCATCAACCCCGGCAGAGGCAGCAGCAGCCACAGCCACAGCCGCAACGTCAGCCGCGTTCCCGCGAAGGCGCCCCCGCCCCTCGCCATGCTGGGTTTTTCGCCCGCGAGAGGGTCGGGAAGCGCGCTCCCGCGTCCCCTCGTGCGGCGGCCCCGCTCCCGGCCTGCCCCGCGGCCCGGCTCGTAGGAGGGGGAGAGGGAATGAAATTCCCCGCTTCCGCCAGGCCGCTGAGCGAAGGGGCGGGGCTTCGCGGGGCGGGGCTTACAGGGGGAGGTATTTAAGGCTCCGCCTCCCCAACCGTCCCACTTTGTTTTTTCAAAAAAAGGGGCGGGAATAAAATGGTTTATGAGGGGAAAAACGAAAAACTAGAAACAAATATATAAATATGAAAAAGCTGAAGCTTGAAGGAGGGGGAAAGAAATTAAAATTTAAAAATATACGTTCTAAAGCAAAAAGGAAGGGAAAGGACCTTGAAGGAAAAATTGGAAATTGGGGGGAAAAATAATAGTTTGGATGGCTGGGAATTAAAATTATTTTAAATTTATTTTAGGGGAGGGCAATAGAAGAGAAAAATTGGGTTTGGAGTAAAAAATAGTTATGAAGAAGGGAAATATCAAGGGAAATGGGGAAAAAGAAAAAATATATGAGAAGTTTGAGAAAATATTGAAATATAGAAGAGGCAGGAGTTTGAAAGGCTGGAGAAAAAATGAATTTTAAAGCGAAAATGGCTTCGTGAGAGGGTGGAGGAGAGGAATTGATTTAAAAAATGTAGACAAATGTGGGATTTATTTAGAGATGAAGGAGAAATAGTGGGAAAATGGATGAAAAATCAGCTTGAAAGTGCAATTCAGAAGCAAATGAAAGAAAAATAAGCTAAAGAGAGAAAAAAATGGGTGAAAATGTAAAGCTATGGAGGAAAAAGGGGCTGCTTGCACCAAAAATAAGCTAGGATTAAGACAAACCATGATCTTAAGAGAAGCCCTAAGAAATGCCAAATCAATTACTGCATGCCCAACAAAACTCATCTCTAATTTTTGTTCAGAAATTGGTGAATTTAGTATTAGAAATTAGTCAATTTTCCAGTAGAAATTAGTCAATTTCAACTTCATTAGTCATTTTCACAACTTCCTTGGAAATTTGTTTCAATTTGTAGTCACTTTCAGGCTTGGATTTTTCTGGTTAATTTCACTCTTTAGGGAGGAAAATAAACTTGTTGTTTGCTATTTTTTGCCAATTTTAAGCAAGTCTACTCGGGTAAAATAAGCTTTTGTTAATATCAACCCGTCTTCACATTTTTGAAAGTTTCAAGTGGTTTTCTTCAAAGAATTTGAAAGCATGTTTTGTTTCTTTAAAAGAAGCAATGGCTGTTTTTGAGCTATTGCTAATTGAAATTTGGAAATTTGGGTTTTAGAGAAGAAATTCACATTTTTTTTCTGTTGCATCCTATGTAGGTTTACTCAGAAGTCAGCTCCACTGGGTTTAAAGAAGGCTACTCTTTTTAAACTCAAGATTGGGAAGAAAGATAGATTTTTTTAAAAAAAAATTAGGACATCAAAAGGGTTTTGATGTCTGAAAAGGCAGGGCATGCAGTCATAAAACAACCCATCCTTGATGTTATTGGAGACAATTCTTTCCATGTGCCTAAATTGCATTTTCCAATCTGTTCTTGTTTTAAAAATGCACTGTTCCATTCTTCCTAAATAAATTTTATAGCTCATTTCAAAAAGACAAATGCAGCAGTAAGAAAGCATGTTTAAATCCACCATAAACCCTTTTTGAAGAAAAAAAGCATAAAAGTTTATTGTATGCAAGAATTGAGGAAACACACTCCATTGTATCTGTACATTCATTTACAAGACCCAAAAGAACAATGTCAATTATTTACACATGAGATCTGAATACATATGTATATATATTTATACGTACATATACACCCCGTATGGTTTTTTTTCTAATTTACAAAACAACCCTCATTCCCTGCACCAAAATGAAGGGAAGCAAAAAAAATAAGAGGCTTTAAAAAAATAAAGGAATGTAACTTGGCATCAATGAAAGAACTGAAATTGGAGGCTTTGGGTATCTGGAAAGGAAGGTGGCAGTGGCTTAACTTTACCTGATTTTTAAAATGTATTATTAAATTTATTTATTATCTTGTCATGGGGCTGCTCTGGGTGGCTTATGGTTGATGGGTTAAATTGGGTGTAGAATGAATGTTAGTGATAATAAAAGATGCCCATGAAAATAGAAAAGCTAAATTTTGGGGTTGTCTTGCTGTTTGTGGGTGTGTCTTGTCACCCAGGTCCATCTGAGGTTTTGGGGAACTAAACAAACCCTGATCAGTCCCCCTGGATCCCCAAAGCTGATGGAAACAACTCTACTCCAATCATGGTGATGAAGAAGAGATCTCAAAGTAATGTAAGGAGCCAGGGAGAAGATTCCGGCACTTTTGATTTCAAACCCTACTGTGAGGCACCAAACCCAGACATGAAATTGGTTATGAATCAGTATTGAATTTTAACTCTGAAGTTTTGCCTCCCTTGTTGAACCACACTGCAGATCTTCAATACGAATCTGCATGGCTCATATCTAACATGCTTGGCCAGTGCATTCTCTTCCATGGTTTACAAGACCAGCCATGGTCTCCTGGAGGAACTTGGTCGTTGTCAAGTTTTGCAGGAACAAAGTCAACCTAGTGATTGTCAGTATTTCATGCTGGAAAGGCCTTTTTGTGGGGGCTCAGCTTGCTTCCCTTTCGGTCAAAGAGTCCCATTGCTTGAGATGCACTGCTGCCGGAAGGCAAGTTGCAGGCGCATTGGTTGCAATCTTGTTGCCCCCCGTTGTTGTCCAGCTACAACTCGCTCGAACGCACTGCTGGCTCCAATTTGTGGGACAGGGCAGTGAGGACCTTGTTAAACTTCTCATAGCGTTCAATCTGGCTGCTTTCGGCCCCCCGACTCCCCCATAAGAGCCGGAGCTGAAATTCAGTACTAAAGACTTCCAAAAGCTCCATTTGTGGTTGGAACCCTGCAGGGAGATAAGAATACAATTAAAATCCTGCCCAACTAGACAAGTTTACATGTTTAGATTGTTTGTATACTTTCATCACCTAAAGGTATGAGTAACCTTTGAAAAAAAGTCAACTTTATCTCTTCATAAACAAGAAATCTAGCACGCTACTAGAGTGGGCTGAGTGATATAGGTAAGAGTATATATAGTTATTATCCTTGCTTCCCAAGATTTGAAGATTACCTTTGAAAATTAAAGAGACTAGGAGCAAGCCAACAATATTACTTTTGTTGTCTCTAGAAAGCGCCTGATTATCTTCCGATTATCAAGAAATCCCTTTGGGAATCCTTTTGAGCAAATTCATGCCAAGATGGACCTAATTTAAGCATTAAAATCTCCAAGCAATATAATTATGGATATATCATCTAGTATGGCTTCTAAACATGTCCAACAGTCAGGGATGTGTTTGGAGGAATGTATGCATTTACCAATATTAATTCAAATTGCTCATATCTAAATTTCACAGCTAAAAAATACGAAAACTGATCTTCATAATTTAGTTTCTCCCCCTGCCAATGTAATTCTTGCTTGATAAACATACATAGTCCACTAGACAGTTGCCCTTTGCTCTTTGTTTTTTGGGTGGGGGAAGTCCATCCCTGAAATAGCCCTGGATGGCTATTACATCAAATTTAGATAAGAAACTCCACTATCAACCACTTCCTTCCAGTCAGCTATGCCCCAAGTCACAATTTATATCTTTGGCATCCTTCGGTTTCAAGAGACTATGGCATCGTGTTCTGAAAAGAGGTCCTAAAACAGCATCTGGTATGGTTAAAAAGGCCAATTCAAGGTCTTTAGCCTCCAAGCTGAACGATCAGAGGTCAAGGTTTCCCAGCTGTTAATGTCCATTCCCAAGGCCTTTAGATCCCTCTTGCAGGTATCCTTATATCACAGCTGTGGTCTCTCTCTTGGGCCCTTTCCCTGCGCTAATTCTCCATACGGGAGGTCTTTCGGAATCCGCCCATCAGCCATCCTTATGACATGCCCAAGCCCGCATAGATGTCGCTGTTTCAATAGTATATACATGCTAGAAATTCCAGCAGGTTCCAAGACTGCACTATTTGGAACTTTGTCATGCCAGGAGATGCCAAGAATATATAGGAGACAGCGTATATGAAACAATTTATATAGGACTCCTGAAAAGCAAGATATTCTGTCTTGGGTTGGTTGACTAGGGAATAAGCCTACCGAATATCAACTTGTTTGGGGAGCTGGATCAATATTGATTATACTTCCTGTGTAAGCGCAATTATTGTAAAGTTCAATATTCCTCCTCATAAGTTGTAAATTGTTGGTCTTTTTATCTTGATTGCTAGTATTTCCCCCGTATTTGTTCTCTAATCATTATTATCTGGTTGTACTGGATGGTTAATTTGGACTTTCGCTGTTATATCCCACTGAGTATCTTTACTTTTTGCTTTGGACTAGCATGCTGTCTCTTTTTATTTGTTGGGGATTTGCTTTCAGATACTGAGCTTGATAACAGTTCCACAGAAGAGCAGCTAGAAGGGAGAAAGCGTTCAAACTTTCTATTGCATTCGTTACTGATTTCAACATTGAACTAATTATTCCAATTTTCTTTAAAATCAGCTCTTGATCTGCTGAGCAAAGGATGACAAACTCATGGATTAATTCTTCCTCATCGTCCATAAATCATAACTTTCCGTTAAGTAAATCTAAATTCTCTTTTTTTACTATAATCAACTTCTTTCATCCTTGCTAATTGGGGAATTTTTTTATTTGGCCATTAATGGTTTAGTATTTCCAAAGTTGGAATTGGCCTCCCTCACTGTCTTGGCTCTCTGCCCAGACTTTAGCACAAGCTGGATTTGGGTAGTATAAAACGCCCATATTGGCCGAATACAATATTTCCTTAGAAAGGTTTCAAGCCCGAACAACATCGATGGAAAAACAATATGCCCAAAGGTTAACAATATTCTTTTACAACCATGTTTGTTGGGGAGTCAAGAAATCTGTGTTAGTTCATTAGAAGGCTTGACACTAAACTTGTTGTAAAGAGAGCTTATGGTACTAATTAAGCTGATCGGTTGTGTGTGTGTGTCCTCACAACACAATGCAATAACCTGACTCAACTGTCACTGCAGAGGTCACAT